ATAGCGCTCTGAATCACGGTGGGTCACTAGAGAAGCCTGCTCTGAACCATTTGTATGGATTCTGAAAATTTTATGCTGCCTAGGTCTTGCTTTAAGATTTACGTATATACAAATAAAAAAAAAAAGATTTACGTATATACATATGTATACACACACACACACACACATATACGTATATATATAGGTATGACTCTTAGGGTTGGGTGCCATATATATATATATATATATATACATATATGTGTGTGTGTGTGTATACGTATATATATGTATATATACATCAGGTGTTTATTTGGCTCTCCGCATGAAAGCGTCAGTCGTGCAATAGGAAGTTTAATTGAATGAAATGAAATGGTAACTCAATTTACAGTAGCTTCTCCTAGGAGCATCTTGATTATCATTAAGGTCTCTGGCCAGCCTTAGAAAGTGCCTATGGAGCAGCAGTCACCTATTTGTGAAGTCACGTCCTGGCAGCTGAAAGCCAGGCGGCTCCTCACAGTTGCTCATTACTTGGCTGCTTTCGAATCACCATACACATGGCTCGAGTCCTGTGATCTCATCGTCGGGGCTAGTTGGCTCCATCAGGCTGGTACCAAACGTGTTAGGTTAGCGCTAATGAATTCTCGCAGGCGATGTTCGCCAGTAGCAATCACTTGCGCTTTCTGGCAATGAAAGCAAGAAATATCTGGAATCCTTAGACTATGAAAAAGCCATGTTTTCTCCAGAGCATGCATACATACATATTCCTCTGTCTCCGTGTGTGCTATGAGGTGCATATGATCTGCTCCAGAGCCTGGTCTCAAGTGGGTTGTTTTTGTCATTGTATTGCACGCTTTTGAGATGAATTACATCTCCACGGCATTGGACAGGGAGCCCACCCCCAAGCACACACAGCCCTCATTGACCTACTCACCCAAACTTACGTTTATTTGGAGCTCTACAACCTGTCTCCTGTTCTGAGAAGGACAACTGTTATTAGCATAGAATAATGCCGCTTACATTTTTTTTTAAGTTTATTCATTCATTTTGAGAGAGAGAGAGAGCATGAGTAGAGGAGAGGCAGAAAGAGAGGGAGGGAGAGAGAATCCCAAGCAGGCTCCACATTGTCAGCGCGGAGCCTTACGCGGGGCTTGAACCCACAAATGTGAGATCTTGACCTGAGCCAAAAATCAAGAGTCAGACGCTTCATCTACTGAGTTACCCAGGCACCCCAGAACTCTGCCCTTCTTACGAGAGCAGCAACCCAATAAAGCCGAGACAGTTTTTTTGTACTTTATTCCAAACTTTTCTAGAATGTTATCAAATCAGATTATCAATGGATGCCACAATTAATGAAAGGACACCCCACCCTTCTTCTCTTTATGGACTCAAAAGACCTCACGACAATTTTCTACTTAGAAGCTGTCAATGTTTAAGCTGCCCCAACAGAATGTTAAATGTCAGCCAATTGGCATTCTCTGGACTTGGGGCTTGACCTTGGAGACCTGAGTGCGGGACCAGAGGATCTGTCAGCGGTGCTGGATCGTGTCTGAAAGCCAGGCTGCATCCACAGTGCCCCTAAATATCTCACTGTGCAACAAGGGTCCGAACTCTGCTTTTCCTGAATAAGAGCTACTAATCCAATTTTTTAAAAAAATAAATTCTATTTTGGAATGACCTTAAATTTACAGAATAGTTATAAAGAAAGTACAGAGAGTTCCTATATACCAGTCACCTGGTTTTAGTTTTCCACTAATGTTACAATCGCACGTTACTTTGGTAGTACCTTTGTCAAAACTAAGAAATTAACACTGATACATTGCTACCCAACTCCAGACTTTATTTGATTCCACCCAGAGTCCCACCCATCATACCTTCATTGCATTGAGTTGTCCGTGTCTCCTTGGTTCCCTCTGGTCTCAGAGTTACTGTTCTGCCATGTTTTCGTGACCTTGATAATTTTGAGGAATACTGGCCGGGTATTTTCTAGAATGTCCCTCAATTTGCATTTGTCTGATGTATCGTCTTTAAATTATCCCGCAATTCTGAGTTTTGGGGGGAAGGTTGAAGTGAAACGCCCTTCTCATCACAGCTTATCAGGGAGTCCCCGACATCCATACAATGACACTGAGGTGTTAATTTTGATCACTTGGCCAAGATAATGTTTGCCAGATTTCTCCACAGTAATGATTTTTCTCTTTCCATGCTCCGTAATTTGGAAATGAGTTACTCAATCCAGCTTACCCTCGGGAACGGGGTTTTGAACTTAAGCTCCTGAGGTGGGAATAATTAGATTGGGTTTTTTTTGAGAAGTGGGGATCACTCTCCTCATTCCTACTCTCCGTATAATTTCCCACTTATCTGTATTACGTGACAGAGGATGTGTCTAATATATCACAGCTGATTTAGGGAAGAAATTGGGCCTGTAGGACATGAAGGAGAACAGGAAATAGACTAGTGAGCATTTGTATTATATCCAATTTTTTTTTTTGCTGTTACAACTAAAGATGCCCTGCTCAGCCATACCCTGAACAGACTATGCATGAAGATATGCTTTGATTTCTCATCATTATTTTTTTTAATGTTTATTTATTTTTGAGAGAGAGAGAGAGAGAGAGAGACAGCACAAGTAGGGGAAGGGCAGAGGGAGAAGGAGACACAGAGTCCGAAGCAGGCTCCGGGCTCCAAGCTGTCAGCACAGAGGCCGACACGGGGCTCGAACCCATGAACCGTGAGATCATGACCCGAGCCAAAGTCGGACGCTTAACTGACTGAGCCACCCAGGCGCCCCTGATTTCTCTTCCTTATTAATGGGTTTGATACTTGCAAATTCACCTACTCACTAACATTTGTAACCCCAAATCAGTACCCGTGGTCATCTGCCCACATGTGCAGAGCAAAAAAAAAAAAACGAGTCTCCAGACTTGCATATTCCCAGCCAGAGTCAAACAAGACAACACTCTGATGCTCTGCCTTCTTGTTTCTTCTGTCAGAGATGACCAGACCGTTCAGAGGTGTACGTAAAGCTCCAGACCTTGGGGTCAGTTGAATAGGGATTGAATCCCCACTCGGGCACCTGTTAGGGGGGTAGCCTCAGTCCGTTCACTTAACATTTCTGAACTTTGTTTTCTTTTTTGTAAAATAAAATAGAACCTACTGGGATGAGTTGTCTTTAAGATTTAAGACAATAATCTATGTGACATATATATACACATATGATATGTATCTCTTTATATCTTTTATGTATGATATATGTATCTCTTCGAGGAGCAGTGATTCACTGTTAGGTAATTCAGACTTTGTGGTGCCTTTATAGAAATAACTCCCTCCAATTATTAGAATCTGCTGTATGGTACCACTGGAATGGGTGGGTCTTACAGATGTTATATATTTAACATTTGAAGAAACTCCCAGGGCGCCTGACGGGCTCAGTGTGATCAGTTTTGTTTTGTTTTGTTTTGTTTTGTTTTTAACAAAACGAGACTCTGACGTCAATGATTTTTTTTTCTATTTTCCCATAGACCTCCTCTGTTTTCGTTTTCTGTTTCTACTTTAGTGGTTTCTGCAGGTATTGTTGACAATAGGCAAAAGTTTGAAACAACCCAAGTGTCCATCAACAGATGAATGAAGAGACAAAACATGTAACATACAACGCAATACTATTGTGCCAAAACAGAGTGAGATTTTGATACATGCCTCAACATGGATGAGCTTTGAAAACATTATGCAAAGTGAAAGAAGCCAACCCCCAAAGGACAAAGATCACTTGGTTGCACTCATATGAGGTATCTAGAATGGGCAAATTCATAAAGACAGAAAGCAGAATAGAGGTTAGCAGGGGCTTGGATGGAGATGGGGAGGTATTGTTTAATGAGTACAGAATTTCTGTTCGGGATGATCAGAAAGTTCTGGAAATGGTGGTGATGGTTGAACAACATTTTGAGTGTATTTAATGCCATCGGATTATACATTTTAATCTTATGTATATTTTACACAATAAAATAAAAACTAGATTGGTAAAAAAAAAAAATGAGGTTGGACAACACTGAATCGAATACCACATGGCATCTCAGAATCTTTTTTTATTTTATTTTCTCTTTATTTAGAGAGACAAAGTGTGAGCAGGGCAAGGGCAGAGACAGAGAGGGAGACACAGAATCAGAAGCAGGCTCCAGGCTCTGAGCTGTGGGCACAGAGCCGGATACAGGGCTTGAACTCACAAACCACGAGGCCATGACCTGAGGACGTTTAATCAACTGAGCCACGCAGGACCCCTGGCATCTCAGAATTCGTTAGAATTGTCAGTCTTGGAGAAGAGGAGTTAGCATGTCTCAAATCACCTGTTTTTGCAGAAGTAATCCACAATAAAAGTTGATAAATAACTTTTAGGCATTTAAATTTGAAATATAAGACAGCAGAACAAAATAGAACAAGCATTGATCTTGAGCACTGTTTTCATTAATCAGTCCAGGGTTCCACTCTATAAGCATTTGGTCAGGAAGGATATAACAGGCGGCCTGCGTGCTGCACTCAGTGGCCCAGAGGTCAAAGTCAAGGAGAGGGCAGATGGAAGAACTAAAGGAAATGAATGCTTCTACCCACCCTCCCCCACCCCAGCAATCTTTGTCGGCTCTGGAAAGAATATGTAGAAAGTGTTTTATTTCTTCCGGACTAATCTCTTAATTTCATTAAACTGAATCAAATTATCCAGGACACAGAAAAGAGCTTAATAAAAAAATCAGATACTATTTCTTTTTCTTCTCATTGATATATGCCACCAGAAGTCTCCGGGTAGTTCTCTTAGGAATTTCAGATCCACAGTCATTTTGAAACAGGAGGCCCACACTTAGTGCTCCGCGAAACTCACCTCCACTTTGATATTTCTGGATTCCAGTATTTACCTCTTAAAAATGAGATGAAACAAAATGCTTCCCCCTGAATAAAAGCAACGCATACTCTGGAATAGAGTGAAAGTAACAAAAATAATCCATAATCCTGGCCTGGCTGGGCCAGAGCAGTCCAAGATGGCCGACTTCAAGGATCGGACGTTGGATGTGGAGAAGGTACTCATAGCTGCTAAATTCATCACTCATGCACCACCAGGGGAATTTAATGAGGTGTTCAACGATGTCCGGCTACTACCTAATAATGACAATCTCCTCAGGGAAGGGGCAGTGCATGCATTTGCTCGGTATAACATGGATCAGTTTACTCCTGTGAAGATAGAAGGGTATGAAGATCAGGTCTTAATTACAGAACATGGTGAGCTGGGTAATAGCAGATTTTTAGACCCGAGAACCAAAATTTCCTTTAAGCTCGATCATTTACAGAAAGAAGCAAGTGACCTCCCAGCCAGAGGACGCGGATGGAGGTCTGAAGTCTTGGAGAGAACCCTCTGACGGTGCTTTCAGGGCCTACGTGAAAGATCGTTACCCCAACGGCTTCCGTACTGTTTGTGCTAAAACTATAGATGGGCAACAGACCATTATTGCCTATATTGAAAGCCACCAGTTGCAGCCTAAAAACTTCCGGAATGGTCGTTGGAGATTAGAGCGGAAGTTTGCCACGACACCACCTACAGCCCAGGTGGTGGGAGTACTTAAGATTCAGGTTCACTGTGACCAAGATGGCAATGTTCAGTCGGTTAGTCAGGAAGATGTACAGGATGCAGGAACTGTTTCAAATGAAGTCCGAACTGCCAAGGAGTTTCTTCAAATCATAGAGCATGCAGAAAATGAACGTCAGACAGCAATTAGTGAAAACTATCAAAACAACGTCAGACGCCGCATTCAAGGCCTTGAGCCGGCTACCCGCACTGAAATCGACTGGAACGAGATCCTCAGCTACAGGACTGGCAAAGAAATGCAGAATGCTTAAAGGCTGAATGTAGGATTCTTCAGTCAGTGGAAAGAAAGGATTCAACATGCAGTCCTAGGATAATAAGTGATTTATAAACAAGAATGATATTTTGCTAGGGCTTTCAAAGTTGACAGGTTTTCTAGCTTCCTGGAATACTGTTGAATGTTATAGCATCATCTTGATTCTTTTGTCTTCTCTGCCTTGTATTTTCGGTTTTCACTATACCCACTTGTAGTTGTTTTTTTTAATTCTGTCACGTTTAACAATGGAGAGAGAGAGAGCTATACTGGAGTCATTTTACTGTTTAGAAAATTTTCCTAGCCATGAAGCCCTGTTATTGAAGTTGACAGTTAACAAGCTCGCCACTTTTCTACCCCTATCCTTCAAAGCAATTCCGGTACTTCAGTGCTTTCTCCTGATCCACCAACAGCTAAAGAGGCTATGCTACAGGGGCGCCTGAGTGGCTCAGTCGGTTGAGAGTCCGACTTCAGCTCAGGTCACGATCTCGTAGTTTGTGAGTTCGAGCCCCGAGTGCTCTGTGCTGATGGCTCAGAGCCTGGAGCCTGCTTTGGATTCTGTGTCTCCCTGTCTCTCTGCCCCTCCCACGCTCATTCTCTGTCTTTCTCTGTCTCTCAACAATAAACATTAAAAAAAAAATTTTTTTTTAAAAGCTATGTTACAATGGAAGACACATTCATCCTTCTCCCTCTGACTGTTTTGATCATCATTTACAGCATCTCATAACTACTTTTCAATAGTTTGGATTGGGCTTTTCAGGTCCTTTTGTGGGGGCAGAAGAAGTTTCCTGGAAATTCCATTATAGCCAGCTTCTCTGGAGAAGTTGTTTTAAATCCAAGGACTTGAACCACATTCCCTGCGCGTGAACGTGTTTGCTTTTTTCTCTTCCCTCGTTGTCTCCTTCCCACCTGGTACCATTATAATTATAGACATCTGCATTTTTAGAAGAGTTTTACCCATTTATTATTATTATTATTATTATTTTATTATTCAAGAGCTGCTGACATACTAGGGATGTAGTACAGTATAAAACTTGAAAAATGCAGATGTTGAAGCACTGACAGTATCTTGTGCTTTAATACTTTGTGGCGGGATTGTACTACAGGCAGATGCTTCAAACAACTACGTAAATCACAAAAACCAAAAACAAAGCCAAGTGAAAAGGATACGCTTCAGGCTTTCCCTTGTAACCTGTTATTTAAGGGAATACTAGTGATTTGTTCTAAAGAGGATGTAAAACTTGTTCCAAGTTACTCTTCCTCCTTCCTGCCCTGCCAAGAACTTAAATGTAACTGTGATACAGCAACCCTTCCCGGGTATATTGGCAGGTGTATGTGTGATCTCAGAATACACAGGTGACATAGATATGCTATGACAGCTGGTCATGGTGGATTCATTTACATTGTTTACACTTCTATGACCCGGCCTTAAGGGAAGCTCAGTTTTTTTAAAAATACAAGCAGTGGCTTACCTACCTATCCAAATAAATGTCAAAAAAGAAGGGTGTTTGTGTTTCAGCTTTGTTTTTGCTCAGTAATACAGTCAAACAAGTTTGTTTCCAAGGGACCTGGTGAGCTGTGTAAGCATTTTTGTTTATTTCAAATAAACTATGTTTGTATATTGAAAAAAACCTGTAATCCTATAACTTAGAGATGACCACTATTCACAAACCAATGTACGTGTGTGTGTGTGTGTGTGTGTGTGTGTGTGTGTGTCTAGAAAGAATCTATCCCTCACCCCTGTCTCCCAAGCACTGAGAACCTATTGAGCTCAATCCCTGGTGTGGAGAAGGCATCCAATAAATCGAACTAAATATTCTTGCATAAATGATCGTAAAATTATACACATTCAATTTTATATCATACTCCATTTGTATGACACCTTGAGAATAAGCAAATCTATAGAATCAGGAAGTAGATTAGTGGTTGCTGGGCTCTGAGTTGGGGGAAGGTTAGAGCAGTGACTGTTAATAGGCGTATGATTTCTCTGGGAGATAATAAAAATGTTATCGAATCAGATAGCGGTGAAGGTTGTCTGACCTTGTAAATATAGTAAAAACCACTGAAGCGCAAACTTCAAATGGGGGGATTCTATGGGGTGCGCACAACATCGCCTTAAAAACACTACAAAAAACACATCGTAATGGCAATGACCTGTATTTGTAGTAAGTTTAAACTTTCAAAGTACCTTCCTTTTCATATATAGTTTTAATCTCATTATAATCTTATGAAGGACACGGGGCAAGTTTATCTAATCTCCTTAACAGGAGGTGAGATTGAGACCCAGAGGGACTGAGTGATTTTGCCAACATCACACAGCAAATTAGAAATAGAGCCCAATTAGATGTAGAATAAAAATATGGCAGTTCCCGTCCAGTGAACTTCTATTGTCCAATGTCATATTAATGAGTCATAATCAATATCCGGCTAATCATTTTTATCTCTTTTATATAACATTGTTATTAAATGATGACTCATTTCTTAGGTGTTTGCTGCTTGCCAGGTGGCTTCATTCAGTATTGACTAGTCATTATACGAATCTTGTGAAGTAGGTAACATTAGCTCCATTTCATGGCTTTTAGAAATTAGCTTACTGGGGGTGCGTGGGTGGCTCGGTCGGTTGAGCGTCCGACTTCGGCTCAGGTCATAATTTCACAGCTGGTGAGTTCCAGCCCCAGGTCGGGCTCTGTGCTGACGGCTCAGAGCCTGGAGCCTGCTTCGGATTCTGTGTCTCCCTCTCTTTCTGCCCCTCCCCGACTTGCTCTCTCTCTCTCTCTCTCTCCCTCTCAAAAATGAATAAACATTAAAAAAAGAAAGAAAGAAAGAAAGAAAGAAAGAAAGAAAGAAAGAAAGAAAGAAAGAAATTAGCTTACTTGTCCAAGGTTGCCTCACAGGGGACATTTGGCAATGTCTAGGAATATCTTTGGTTATCACAGCTGGGGGTGTGCTACTTGTATCTAGTGGATGGACCAGAATTAAAAAAAAAAAGTTTTTTAAGTGTTTATTTATTTTTGAGAGACAGAGAGAGACAGAGAATGAGCAGGGGAGGAACAGGGAGAGAGGGAGACACAGAATCTGAAGCAGGGCTCCAGGCTCTGAGCCGTCAGCACAGAGCCCGATGCGGGGCTTAACCCACGAACCATGAGTTCGTGACCTGAGCCAAAGTCGTTTGCTTAACCGACTGAGCCACCCGGGTGGCTCTTCTTTTTTCTTTTTTCTTTTTTTCCTAATGTTTATTTATTTTTGAGAGAGAGAGACAGAGAATGAGCAGGGGAGGCACAGAGAGAGAGGGAGACACAGAATGGATGGGCCGGAATTTTTTTGCTAAACTTCCTGCAGTGTATAGGACAGCCCCCCACAACATAGAATTATCCAGCCCCAAACGTCAACAGAGCTGAGACCGAGATACCCTGCTTGAAATGATACAATGGCATAATACATGTGAAAACACTGTATAAATACAAACTACTGTTTGTTGTTTTACTCTCTAGTATGATAGTAATTCCCGGGAACATTCACCAGCACCAGGCCCTCACCTGGTGATTGCTGGATAGAGCGGTGCCTGCTAAAATGTTTTGGCGAACATTACCTGATGAAAAAAAGTCAGTCACAAGAAGACAGAGACTGCGAGATATCACTTACATGCGGTGTCTAAAGTAGTCACATTCATAGAAACAAAAAGCAGAATGTGGTTACCAGAGGCGGTGGGGGGGGGGGCGATTTGGAAAGTGTTCCGTGGGTACAGAGTTTCAGTTACGTAAGATGAAAGTTCTAGACCTTTGTTGCACAATAGATGTATGGTTCACGCTCTGTACTGTGCGCTTAAAGGTGGCGAAGAAAGGAAGTTTTATGTTGTGTGTTTTTATATCGCGAAGGAAAATGATTTGGCGAGTCGTCAACGTCAGTGACTAGGGACAGAATTTGAATCTTACAGGTTTCGGACCTCAGTACTAGGGGTTAGAAAACGATTCTGTGTCAGATTTTCCTGGGGCAGCAGGCACACCTGTTCCAGCCAATCAGACAGAAATGCAAGCATTTGTCAGCCGTGGAAGGACAGAGTGCTGGTGATGGAGGGAAGAGGGGTGAAAAGATCCGCAGTGGGACCTCATAGTGGAGACATCAAACGTATGCTTGCAAGTGGGCTCATGTGCTGGGTTCGTTCTTGTTTTTACCAGAAATATTCTACTGACAAGATTGGGCACCTGGGTGGCTCGGTCGGTTGAGCGCCGACTTAGGCTTGGGGTCATGATCTCGCAGTTCGTTGATTCAAGCCCCATGTCGGGCTCTGTGCTGACAGCTCGGAGCCTGGAGTCTGTTTCAGATTCCGTGTCTCCCTCTCTCTGACCCTCCCCTGTTCACGCTCTGT